TTGTGGGTAAGGAATCAGGTCTTGAAACCCACTTAATCATATTATAATCGGAGAATTACTGACTCTATCTGAGATTTCCTTAGTGGAGTAAGAATTTCACTTCCCCCCCACCGTCAAAATCTCTTATTTAATCCAGAGTATCTGAAAAAAAAATGACAAAATAATTAACAATAATAATCCAAAATAAAATCTGGAAAATTCTTGTTAACCGAGGAAATGAAACTAAGATAAATAATTTATGTTTTGAAACCTTTGACATTTATTTCAGTTTTTAAAAATGGTAATGAACATGTGGTTTTAGATACATGTGTTCCAGGGCAGTTAATCATCTAATAAGTGTGCCTCTAATAAGCATTCACTAATGGCATGATATTGGCAAAGATAATGCTGCCTCTGAAGCCAGAGACTTCAAAATAATAGCTATGCGAGTGAGGGTTGTACTTAAAATGAGAATCAGTGCTAATATTAAGGAAAAAGCAAATAAAATACAAAAGGAATAAAATGTTCTAATATTTATAAATAAACAAATAAAGACATAATAGCAAACACGATTGAGTGACTGACTTATTCCTGGCACTGTTGTGTTATAGATTACTTGATAGTACCTTACCTCACTTCGTAGTTAAAATGCTTTTACAAAGTAGGTGTAATTACTGTCCCCATTTCTTTTTTTTTGTTTTGAAATATTTTATTTAATTTTAGTTATCTTATTATTTTAAAATCTCCAGAGGGGACACACACACAGAGGTAGAGAGAAAGAAATGGAAAGTGAGAAAGCAAGTCTCCAGGTCTGGGACTCAAACCATGGTCGGCCATGTGGGAGACCAGTGTCCCTAACCAGCATGCCACCTACAAGTCCCATGGTCCCCATTTCTGAACTGAGGTAACTGAGACCATGACATTAGAACTAGAGCTTCACTCTAAACAACCTACTAATTTCAAACTATTGATAACAATAGGTAGCACCCAGCACTTACTGTATACCTGTTTTCTTTATAGACATAAATCATTACATTTCACAGCAGCCCTATGAAGTAGGCATTTTCACACCATCTTACAGGTGAGGAAACAGAGGCACAGAGAGATGAAATCCCACATTTAGTAAATGGCTGAGCCAGATAGACTAGACCCTTAGTCCATAAAATCTGGAAAATTCTTGTTAACCGAGGAAATGAAACTAAGATAAATAATTTATGTTTTGAAACCTTTGACATTTATTTCAGTTTTTAAAAATGGTAATGAACATGTGGTTTTAGATACATGTGTTCCAGGGCAGTTAATCATCTAATAAGTGTGCCTCTAATAAGCATTCACTAATGGCATGATATTGGCAAAGATAATGCTGCCTCTGAAGCCAGAGACTTCAAAATAATAGCTATGCGAGTGAGGGTTGTACTTAAAATGAGAATCAGTGCTAATATTAAGGAAAAAGCAAATAAAATACAAAAGGAATAAAATGTTCTAATATTTATAAATAAACAAATAAAGACATAATAGCAAACACGATCGAGTGACTGACTTATTCCTAGCACTGTTGTGTTATAGATTACTTGATAGTACCTTACCTCACTTCGTAGTTAAAATGCTTTTACAAAGTAGGTGTAATTACTGTCCCCATTTCTTTTTTTTTGTTTTGAAATATTTTATTTAATTTTAGTTATCTTATTATTTTAAAATCTCCAGAGGGGACACACACACAGAGGTAGAGAGAAAGAAATGGAAAGTGAGAAAGCAAGTCTCCAGGTCTGGGACTCAAACCATGGTCGGCCATGTGGGAGACCAGTGTCCCTAACCAGCATGCCACCTACAAGTCCCATGGTCCCCATTTCTGAACTGAGGTAACTGAGACCATGACATTAGAACTAGAGCTTCACTCTAAACAACCTACTAATTTCAAACTATTGATAACAATAGGTAGCACCCAGCACTTACTGTATACCTGTTTTCTTTATAGACATAAATCATTACATTTCACAGCAGCCCTATGAAGTAGGCATTTTCACACCATCTTACAGGTGAGGAAACAGAGGCACAGAGAGATGAAATCCCACATTTAGTAAATGGCTGAGCCAGATAGACTAGACCCTTAGTCCAATTCTCTCCTCCAGTAGCCAAAAGATGATATTTTTTGAAATTCTCTCATGTAGACAGTGTTTTCTCAAACATTGCTACTGTTTTTTTAAGTATTTAATTTTTTAAGAAATAATTTTAATGTGCTAGTCAGCTTTTTCCTCTCTGAACGTCACCTTAGCTTTCTCAAGCATAAATGAGGAACTCGTTGATCTATGAAGTATCTCTCAGCTGCACAATTCTATGAACTAAATGCTCCCAGTGTCATGTACCAACATTTCTTCTTTTGACAATTCTTTATTGTTCTATTTTTATGTGTCAGGAATTATGCTACATTTTGCTATTGTAATGCTCAATAACCATTTCTAATAAACATTTACTGAGTACTTGCAACATATTTGGTGCTGTTGTGAGTGCATTACTTGGTTTATTTTTTTTAATCTTCACACAAGCTTTACTTTTAATTACAATTGCTCTTTTATTTCACCAATGAAGAAACTGAACTTAGAGATGCTTAGAAATCTTATTAAAGTCACACGATCAGTAAATGGTAGAGCTGGCATTAAACCCAGGTTGCCTCACTCTAAAACAGAGTCTATCTCCTTGCTACTTCCTCTAATGTTTCTTGTTTTGTTCTGTTTTTATTTTATTCTGTGTTTTAGATTTTTGCCATAGCATGCATGCACTCATTTGAGAGAAAGGAAGAGTCAAAAATCACCCTACCACCACCAACCTGAGGAGATGACCTCATAGCAACCCCTTCTCCTCCATTCTCCTCTTGATATTTTGGGGCACACATGCAGGCACACATGCCTGGTGTGTTTTTCAAACCTCTAGGTCTAGGACTCAGCATTAAGGAGTTGGCCATGTGGGATCTAGCACCTGAACCACCATGTCACCTGCTGACCCATTTTTTTTCTAATGTTGTGGGTACCATATCTAAAGTGTAGAGTTTGAGTAGATCATTTGGTCTGCATATTAGAATGTAAAATGAGGAGAAATAAGTGACATGTCTGTCTAAAATCCTATCTTTCTGACCTACCCACACTTAAAACTTTCACTTGAGTTTTTCATATAAAGTCCAAAGGAAGGACCAAGTTAAAATATGCCTAGAGGGAGTGATGATTTAATCACTCATTCCTGAGAAGTGTAAACAGATTAGTTCACTTGCAACTAATAAAAGTCAGAATTCTGAAGGAATAAACATAGGGTATCTGAGTTTCAGGCAAAGCTTCTAGAGCTTTGTTTTTTTGAAAAAAACATTTTATTTTAATTTATTTTATACATTCAATCACTATATATTTCTTAGATTATAAAGTGAATTTGCCAACATGAATATACTTCACACCAATCCAGTTGAGAGTACTATACATGTTGTCATCAACAGATAATGATCCATTTCAGTGTCCCATAAATGTATTGCCTATTTTTCTCCTTAATGTCTTTCCTTAGACTCTCCTTCTGCACCCTCTTTCCACACTATATCCAGTACCTATTACCATTTTCCATGTTTCTATATCCTCTAATATTTCATGTTAAGACATAGAGTGCAAAAAGTCGGTATATTAAGTGGAGACATGTCTCTCCTTCATAGTCTGACTTGCTTCATTCAGCAGTAAACTTTACATAATTTTCCACTTTCTATCAAAATCCAGGATCTTATTTTTTTTTTAATGGCTGAACAGTAGCCCATAGAGTATATGTGCCTTTTTCAATCCATTCTATTCATGAATATGACTGAAAACTGGGTCAAGCATCACCAGATATCGTGTGTGTGTGATTGTGTGTTTCTGTGTGTATGAGAGAGAGAGAGAGAGACAGCAAGAGAGAGAAAAAAAACTACATATGTGTGCATGTATGGTGACCTCAAATAGCTAAGGGATTGTACAGTGTTAAGCATCAAATTCTAGAGAAAGTAGATTATATAAAGGAAGAAACAGACAATTGCTTATAAGAAGGTTTAAAGAAAAAAAAAAAGATTCACTCTATAAGCCTGTCTTAATTTGACTGCAAACTGAAGAGTTTGGGGCTGCTCTCCACTTAGGAAATTTCTAGGAACACTAATGTAGTGGGAAATGACCATAACAGAAGTGTGGGCTGAGAAGGCTTGTGAGATCTTCTAGTCTAAACTTTGACCTCTGCACAATTCCCTTGAATTACCTCAGTCATTATTTGGATCCCATTTTTAAGGTCAGCCCAGAATGACAGTCTGCAGTCTTCATTCCAGTGAGTGGCTGTATTCACTATCTAAGAAGTCATTTCATACCTAAATCCTTCTATGTCAGCCTAATCTCCAGCCTGTCTTTGAGAAGGATTAAAAAAGGGGCCGTATCACCTTCCACCTAGAAGAACTTAATATTCTAGAGCTGCCACTAAATTACTTCATAATCTCTCTCTCTTCTATGTGATTTCTTTAGTTCTTTCCATTTATCCTTATTTGTTTGGTTTTCTTTCTAAACCATGTATCTGACAACACAGCAGAAGACCAAGTATCATGTATGAGACTCACCGTATTTGTGCAATTCAGAAAATAACCACCACTTAATGTTACTTAGAAGAGAAGTACTATTTATACCCATGGTAGGACTAGGATTTTGTGAATAGTAAGCAAATCCCACCCCCCCCAAAAAAAATTAGCATTCCTTGCATGTCTCTAAGACGACTTCTATTTTTGTATTTCCGGGCCTTAGTTTTTAATGACCAAGACAGTAATGATAATAACATTTTCGTAAAGTGCTTTTGTGGGGATGAATCAAATATCATTTGAGAATGTTTAATATATCATTAATATTTTGAATACCATTAAGGAATCATAAAACTTAAATCTGTGACCGTGTGCAACAGATATTAATGAAGAGTGAATACATCATTCTTATTAATCACCATTTTCAATTGCTGGAATTATCTAAACTTTCCTATGTTGTTCACAGGAATGTGACCTGGAATAGTTTAGCTATCCCAGATACACACTGCTCACCAGAACTGGAAGAAGGCTACCAGTGTCCGCCAGGATTTAAATGCATGGATCTTGAAAATCTGGGACTTAGCAGGCAAGAGCTGGGCTACAGTGGCTTTAATGAGATAGGTCTGTTTTACTGGTAAAACACATTTTAGTTTCTATTTTATACTGTTTATAAAATGAAGAAAGTAATCTTATAACTGATATTTCATGATATGACTGCCTACTTCTGTGCTGTATTATATCTTGCTTTACTTGACACTCTCCTATACAGACTGTGTCTGTACTTAACAATGCCTCTACAGAGTTCAAGTTTTCCTTTTAGAATATTTTGATTCTTAATCGCAGCATCTAAAGTTATTCGTTACTTGAGTAACTTTATTCACTACTTGAATAAGGCTCAGGTTGTTGACTCAACGATTAACAAGGCTTTGCATCCTTCTACCTTGTAACTACACCCTAGTAAGCAAGGTAAGTCTTAAGAACTGATGGAGAAATGATGACTTTCTGAGAGTTGAATATGGCCCTGGAACAGAAGACAGCTAGTGAAATACCTAATGAATATGCATCTACTATGTGATAAGTGATGATAAATGCTTGTACACGAATACAGTGTGCTCAAACGTATGCCTTCCTCCTTGGCTTTGGCTTTTTCTTCTATGTGCTGAAATGTGCTGTTACACATGTAATGAAAGAACTTAGCACCTGTTATTTAGCTGATATTACTGTATGTGTTACAATTCTAAGCAAGTTGAACATATTTTCACTAGTAAGGCAAAAACTCATGGAATGGAATTGTAAACAATTATTTTATGCTTTGTTTTAAAAAATGTTAGTGGCTTTTTTTCCCCTTAAAATTTCAAGGCCACTGTCCCCACTTAATATATACCGAGTGTCTGTCTGCACTCTATGACTGAAACTAATTGTCTAAAGGATATAGAAACGCTGTATATAGATGTAAATACCAGATATAGTGTGTGTGAAAGAGGAGGGTCTAAGGAAGGACATTTAGGGGAGGGACAGGGAGGAAAAGCATTAATGGCACAAAGAAGTGTGGTATTAATCTGTTGAAGATATTTCATAGTTTTATCAACAGTACTAGGCAGAAATGTTCACCTGTTTAAATGTCCATTTTGTAAGACAAATAATAATATGATTGAATGTATGGAAGAAAATGAAATGAAAAAAAATAATAAAAGGAAAAAAAATTATTAAAAAAAAATTTCAAGGCCAGGTGTATTTACGAAAGTTCTGGATACCTTTACTCATGGCCTAAGAGAAAAATATTTTGATAATGTGGCAGGATGGTTGTGCTCTTTTGGAAGTCAGATTTATTTCCTGACTTCTGACGTGGTTCCCCACTGAGTGGGCAATGACACGATAGTGGAATCCACAGCCAAAGATGAGTGTCAGCCCCTGTCATTTCTGGACAACAACTACTGCAACACAGTAAAAAGACCTGCCTACAGGAGGAAAAGTAGCTGCTAATCCCTGTTCACATGCTGGCCTTCAGTCCCTAGCAGAATGATGGTTTAAGGAAGTCTGGGCTAAGATTACGAATATTGAAAGGTTTTACTTTGAAGAATGCCTTCATTATCTGTGAATTTGTAGTTTTTAGGTAGACTATAACACTGAACATGGGCTGCAAGTCACAAATAGATTTCTTTTTCAAAAGTCAGTTTTGTAAATAAGACCCTTAATTTTTATTCCTGTATTTTAATACGCCTTCCTTTTGCATTTCTAACATTGCATTTAGGTAGTGTTCTTCTCTCAGTTTTGACCAGTGATACTGTTTTCTATTTCACATGAATGTAGGCGCCAACTGATATAAAGCATTTCAATTTGCTTTGCTTAAACTTACTTTGCTTTTTAATCAATCTTAAATCCTTGTCTCTTTCTCAAAAGTACAAAGGCCTCATACAGATTTTAACGGTGACTTTAAAGCATGAACAAGACATTATGAACGTGCTGTGGGAGATGAGATATATGGATTTGGTAGACTGTGTGGAACAAGCTCCAGCAATCCTACCACCTGGGCACAGCTAGAATGCATGGCTTTTAAGAGCCTGTAGGTCTTTCTTTTCTAAGCTAATTAGGTATATTCACACCTCCTATGACAAGTGGCCACCATTCAAGGGCTAAGGCTGCCTTAGTCCAAAACCCTCCAAAATCATTTTGCTAAATCAAATCAGTGTCCATTTTAATGCAGCAATTGTGCTTAAATTCAAAATTTACAAGATGTTTGATTTTGTTCATCTTTCTTTGCTGAGACTTGTAATGGCTTCAATTAATATAGGATATAGTTTTTCTTGGGTGAGTCTTGAAAGACCCAATTCTAGGAGAGATTCTCTAAAAGCAGTAGACAGTCACTGAAGTAATTTTTTTTTTTTTACTGTACTATTGATTTGCACATTTATCTGCCTAGGATTTAAGCTGCTTAAAAACAGAAGTGCATCTTTTCATCTTCATGTCTACAGGGACCAGTGAAATGCCTGGCTCAGAGGGAGGCTTCTGTAAATATTTACTAGTGGACAGAACAAAGTGTATGTCCTTTAAATTCATTGGCAACCAGTCATGTTTGTGTTAGGAGGTAGACCCACAATGCAGAATTAGGTTGTTTTCTTGTTCTTTCCCCTGATTTTGTGTTTGTATTGGCAGTATACACTGTTCCTCATTACTTTCTTTTCTATACATACTCAGTCTAGTCTGTTTGCTTCTTTTTCTCAAATGGTGACTGAACACATCATTGGGTTATGACTCATGGTTAGATAATGAAATGCTGACTTTGTACTCTAATCCAAAAAAAAATTAAATGGTCACTATAGTTTAGATTGAAATGGATAGCTACTTCTTGAGATTATGTATCTCTGTGGATATGCAAACTGTAGTGTTTTAGGAAATTATTTTAAAAATTTGTAAAGGAAATAAAAGTCAAAAGTGAGGCAAAGAAATTATTTTATTAGACATATGTTATCATGTTTTTATGAATTCAGCTGAATTTAAAACATAATTAGGTGTCTTGTTATGCATACACATTTAGCCAAAATACTTGTATGTGTAAGAATTCATGATTAATTTTAAAAGAACACATTTTCTTTCTTTACTAATCAAATTACCATGCAGTGTATTAAATGTCAACTCGTTTGTAAAATTTAGCTTATAATTAGCTTTAGGTCTCAATAAAATATAACACTGATGATGTTGAAAACCTCAAATTTTAGAACATATTAAAAACCAAAATCACTAAATACAATAAATTTCAAAGTACCCCTATGGAAAAATTGTAAAGACATCACTGACCTTTCTATCTCTAAAATCATCCAAACATCAAAGACACTGCGAAACAAAAATTCAATGTCCTTAAGTAAGGATTCTAAAAAAACATATAACTATGAGGCCAACAGGTGGCATACTGGGTTGCTGGAGTGCTAGTCTCCCACATGGCCAACTGTGGTTCAAGTCCCAGACCCAGCTCTTGAAATTAATGCTATGTGTGTCTGCGTATGTGCCCAAAATCCCTAGAAGAGAGTAGAGGAGGGGAGATTGTGGCATGGCCATCCTCCGGGAGGGTTGATTTCTTACTTTCTCTCTCTCTGTCTCTGTGTCTCCGGCAAGTGCATAAGCTCTATAGCAAAAAAAAAAAAAAAACATTCTCAACCTCACTTTAACAAAAACAAACAAACAAACAAACAAACAACAAAAATACCATGTAACTATCAATATAAACCACAACATCAGACATCAGGAGATATAGCATCTAACAGAAAACTTTCTGAAAGGATTCTGGTTGCTGTGGATCTCAGACACCAGAGAATACTGACATTCTAAAGTAACTGATGTTTCTGATGGTGCACTGCAGTTCCCTCCTGGGTCAGGCAGTCAGCATACAAATTGACTGTGGGAACTTTGTGGGACTCTTTGTGGCATCATGAAATAGAAGCCCTCTTTCTTGTAAGCAGCTGGAGAGACAGAGTGGAGGACAGAAAATTGTGATGGGTTCAAATGCTGCTGATCTGAGTTGCCTAGGATGAAGCAAAGCTAAACCGAAGGTCTTCAAATCTGGCTATATCTTTTTATTCACCTGGGAATCTTTTAAAACACACCAATTCCCAAGTACCGTTTCCTGGTGTATTAGATCAAAATCTAAGAGTGATTGGTTTGGATGGTTTCTAATAGCTCTTCAGGTAGTTATAATGTGTGTGCATGTAGAGTAGTGAGACATTGGACTGAAGCAACAGAAATATACACACACAAACACTTACACACGCATACACCCCTTATAAAAACCTTCATTATCTTTGTCTTAGTCCTTTCCTGATGTTATGACAAAATGTCATAGACCCTTAGGTACCCAATGAAAGACATTTATTTCTCATGGTTCTGAAGCTTGAAAAATTCAAGATCGAGACATTGGCAGACTCCATTTCTGGTAAGGTCCCACCTTCTGATTAGGAGATAGAATAGTTCCTTCTAGCTGTGCCCTCAAATAGTAGAAAGAGCAGGAGTCTCTTCTGAGCCTCTTATTTAAATACGCTGATGCTATTCACGAGAAGCCCACCTTCACGTCCTGATCACCTCCCAAGCCTTACCTTCTAATGTCATCTCTTTGGGAGCTGTGATTTCAACATATACATCTTGATGAAAACATAAGCATTCAGTCCATTGCACTATCCCCAACAACACCCCACTCATAGTCTACATGAAACAGTGACAAATATCTGGGGTTTGTTTTAGAGGTTTTTGTCTTAGAGAGCATGTGCATGCTGGAGAGAGACAGAAACAAAATTAGTGAGAGAGAAAGTGAGAAATCACCTCCCCCAGGAGGAAAGGCCATGTCAATCCTTTCTCCTCCATTCTCTTCCCAGGATCTTGGGTGTGCCAACATATGCACCTGGTATTTCAAGCCCTGTGGTTAGGGCTTGAACCATGCTCGGCCACGTGGGAATCCAGCAATGTAAATGCTACACCATCTGCTGACCCCAGTATCTGGGTATTTAAAAAAAATGATTTCAAATATGAGGATCAGTCAAAAGGAGTCAGGACCATATCTATAAAAATGTACTTTGAGTACATGCAAAACTGAAAAAAACATTTAAGATATCTAACCCATTAAAAAGCTTTGCAGG